GCACCGAACCCAAGGCATAGAATGTACTTTCCTATACATACATGCCTTTGCCCTTAAAGGAAGCACTTTACATCTGGCATGTCCACATGTGCTTTGGGGCCATTATCAAGTAAAATAAGGGTGAGACTTGTACACAAACACTGAGTTACCACAATCGACTCAATCTGATAACCGAGACAGCTACTAAGTGACTAGCTGGCAGGTGGTGTATACAGCGTGGAAATGCTAGACAAAGCGCCGGTTCACATCCCAGGCAGGACAGAGCAGGACAGCACAAGATTTTATCATGCTACTCAGAATGGCACACAATTTAAAATTTATAAATTGTTTATTTCTGGAATTTTTCATTTAATATTTTCAGATCACAGGTGTCCCAGGTAACTAAAACCAAGGAAAGCAAAATCATGGCTAGAAAAATAGTCTACACACGGGGGGGGGAGGGGGGGGTACCAAGCTAAGTTACTATTTCTTCCCTCCTCCTACCCACAGAAAGGAGAATATTCTGCACTTACCAGCACAGCATCTGAGTCATGCCAAAAGCGCCAGAGAATCCAGAACCACATGGTTGCACTGAAGAACTCACCCTTGATCACCTGGGACCTGGTGAGCTGGGGAAACTCTCTGTACCTGGGCTCAATGTGCACACCGCCACCAGCACTACGAGCCAAAAAGAAAACGTTAGGCAGCTTGCTACATCTTCAAAGTATTCAGTCATCCAAAACCCTGAGTTCCATCCGGAAACTGAAGCTAACATTTCTCATCTCCTCCACGAAATACAGAATGATAGAGCTCCACAAGCCCTCAAAATACTCATTTTTCATAAGCTCACTTTAAATTTGTTAAGCAACAAACAGTGGCCTGAACTGACAAGAGACTAATGATGATTTTCCTTTAGTGAATATTCCTGTATCTTGCACAGAAATATGAATGTGTTGATAATGAGTTACTGGCCCCAAGAGTTTTGGTTAAAGGATTGTGAACCTATAGTAGTAAGCAGTCACTAGCTTTATCCAAAGAAAACAAATAAGCAAATCAATTTAGCCATCTATTTCAAAAGTAAATTATGTTCTCAGCTCCACTGCAATATTTATGGGAAAGAGGACATTGTAACAATAGGCTTCCTCTTTAATAGGTTTAGATACTATCCTATATAATAAAAGCCTAATATGCAAACCGCAGAACGACGGGAGTAACGACCAGTCGCTATGACGTGTGCTGACCACCAGGGGGCAGACGCTCAATGCAGGAGCTGCCCCCAACCTGCAGGCCCCAGGCCAGCCAAGGCGGGTGCCAGCGGGGACCCCCCTGATCGCCCCGCAGAGGGAGGCGACAGGCAGCAACAGCAGGGGGTGGGGCCGGTGAGCAGGCAGCGCCAGGCCAGCCAAGGCAGGTGCCAGCAGGGGCCCCCCGATTGCCCCGCCGGTCACCCCACGGATCAGCCCTGATCACCAGCCAGGCCTAGGGACCCTACTCGTGCAAGAATTTCGTGCACCAAGCCTCTAGTCTAGTTATAAGGCCCATCAGTTAAACTCATTAAATAAGATTTGAGAATTATAGTTCAAACCCACTCTCCACATTTCATTGTTGCTAGAGTCTCGTAGTGTTTTAACTATGATTTGAAATAAATGGGTGTCCCAAACCAGGATTAAGTATCAAGTTTAAACACAAAAATGCACCATAATTCTCTGTGAAAGTTACATTTTAAAACATAAACCAACCTGACTGGTGTGGCCTGGTGGTTGAGTGTCAGTGGTTAAGCGTCAACCTATGAACCAGGAGGTGGCAGGTTCAATTCCCAGTCAGGGCACATGCCCGGGTTGCGGGCTCGATCCCCAGTGTGGGTTGTGCAGGAGGTAGCCTATCAATGATTCTCTCTCATCATTGATTTTTCTGTCTCTCTCTCCCTCTCCCTTCCTCTCTAAAGTCAATAGAAATATATTTTTAAAAGAACAAACAAAAACCAGATCATATTACTTTGAGGTTTAAAAGCCTAGATGGCCTCCCATCAAATTTGCCTTTGTCACCTATAAAGCCCTCCCTAATCTCTCTGATCCCACCTCTACCACCCTTCCCTCTGCTCCCCCGACTCCAGCCTGCCGGGCTTGCAGGCCATCAGCAGCACACAGAGCCTTTGCGGAGAGGCCCTTTCTGGCATGTTAGCATGGCTGACTTCTCACTCAGGACCTACTTCAAGTCAAACTCTCAGGCATGCATTCCCCACATCATCCTGCATACAGTAGCCCATCCACCCCTATCCTGGACACTGTAGATTAATCCCCCTCTATTTTCTTCATACCATTTGGTAGTACCTAAATGTGTTCTTTCTTTTCTACTTGTTTGTGTCCTCTCTCCATAATGGGAGCTCCATTCTCTTTCTTGTATTATGCTCTATCCCCAGCACCTAGAAAGGATCCTGGAATCCAGAAGATGCTCCATGAATATTTATTCACTTAATGATCACTCACACTGTGAAATCAGTGTGCGTTATGGAAGAACCAAGACCTCAGTGAAGAGGAGCACCCCCTAGCCCAGCTGGCATGGCTCAGTGGTTGGGCATTGACCTATGAACCAGAAGGTCACAGTTTGATTCCCCATCAGGACACATGCCCGGGTTGTGGGCTCGATCTACAGTGTAGGGTGGGCGTGCAGGAGGCAGCCAATCAATGATTCTCTCTTATCACTGATGTTTCTATCTCTCTCTCCCTCTCCCTTCCTCTATGAAATCAATAAAAGTATTTTTTTTAAGAGGAGCACCCCCCAGTCTCCCCCAGGGCTACCGCTTGGTAGTTATTCATTGTTGTCTGTGCTCAGGTCACACCTAGGCCTTTTCTTTCTTCCCACCTCACACCTGTCCCAGCTCCATATCTATATCTATATATATAAAAGCCTAATATATAAAGTGTCCCCTCAGGAGTTCAACAGACCAGGCGTTCGATCGCTCATTATAACATGCTCTGAACACCAGGGCGTGGCATGGAACGAAGGAAGGCCCTGGCCAGCAGCCAGCAGCTGCTAAGGACCATACCCATGCACAAATTTCGTGCACTGGGCCTCTAGTCCCTAACAATCATGTAACTTTAGGCAAGTCACTCCTTTAATTTCTGAGTCTCAGGTCCCTCACAACAACAGCTGAATAATACTTGCATGGTGCTTACTATGCACAAGTAACTGTCCTAAAACACTTCAGGAATTCTAATTCATTTGATTCCTTAGAAGTTAACATTATTATCCCCATTATACAGGTGAGAAAGCTGAGGCATGAAGAGATCAAGAAACTTCCAAGGTCATGCAGCTAATGTGGCAGGCACTATCCTGCATTGCCTCTTGGTAAAGTGTAAACGATGGTCTAAGGCAGTGGTTCTCAACCTTCCTAATGCCGCAACCCTTTAATACAGTTCCTCATGTTGTGGTGACCCCCAACCATAAAATTATTTTCGTTGCTACTTCATAACTGTAATTTTGCTACTGTTATGAATCATAATGTAAATATCTGATATGCAGGATGTATTTCATTGTTACAAATTGAACATAAATTAAAGCAGTGATTAATCACAAAAACAATATGTAATTATATATGTGTTTTCCAATGGTCTTAGGCGACACCTGTGAAAGGGTCGTTCGACCCCCAAAGGAGTCGCGACCCACAGGTTGAGAACCGCTGGTCTAAGGGGTCTCCAAACACTACCTGGAAAAATCCAAGGTACTATTTTCAGTCCTGCTCTTACTGAATCTCTCCTCTCTGCACTACCAGCTTGTTTTTGGTAGAGGTGTCCTCCCTTGGTAGGTATGTCCTGCCAGCGCCATGCTCTCCAGTCAGTTTCTTAGGCTACCTACCTCACCAGGTGACTCTTTTGCTCACTCTCTTAATTCTAGTGTTGCAAGAGTAAACCCTAATGTAAAATATGGACTTTGGGTGGCAATGCTGTGTCAACTGTAGGTTTATCAAATTGTAACAAATGTACCACTCTGATGAGTGAAGCTGGCAATGGAGGAGGTAATGCATGCGTGGGGGTAGGGGGGTATGTGGCAAATTTCTGTACCTCCCGCTCAAATTTGCCGTGAATTGAAAACTGCTCTGAAAAATAGATGTTTTTTAAAAAATGAAAAAATTCTGAACTGCTCAAGCATCTACTTTTGGCTCTCCCTTCTCCTACCTTCCCACACTCCCGTGCCTTAGAGAAGTCATTCCTCAACCTGCAGCCTGAGTGATTTTTCAGAATTATAATCTGGCCACAAGACATCGGACTGAAGCCGCTCAACGACGTCTGTCGCCTGTTTTAAATTATTCAGCCGGCCATCAGGATCCTCTACTGTTCCCTCCCTATGCCCCAAGTCTCCAGCCTCACTCCTGCCCTTGACCCTTCAAATGCACACACAGTAGAGGTTGTTTCCGCGGCCTGGACCGACCTCCCTTCCCCAACTCCTGCTCTAGCTTCCAGGTGAGCTTCAACTTGTGTCCACATCCAACTGTGAACATCCCGAGAGCAGGATCCCCCTGGTGCAGGGTAGTGTCCCTGCGTCCCCCTCACCCCCGACCCCGCTGTCACCAACTCCCCCTGGCCTTGACGCAGCCGACTACAAGTCCCAGCATGCCTCGGGGTGGGTCCGTCCCAGGCGCCCAGTGTCAAGGTGAGAACGTCCCGGAAACTGGCACTTTCTGTTAGAAGCAGGCCAAGACCCCACCCCCGACCGACACTCACTGACGGACTCCGCTTCCAGCCGCCCGCGCGCGGAGGCCTCTGAAGAGGCTGCCTCCGCCGCGAGCGAAAGGCGCCAGCCGCGTCAGAGCCGACATGCCAGCCCGAGTCCGGACAGCCGCCGCGAGGCCGCACCGCTGCGTTCACGTCACTTCCTCCCGGCGCCCCGCCCCCGGACGTCAGCGACGTCGCCCCGCCCGTCTCCTTCCGGATGATGTCAGCGGGAGGGAAGCCAAGGTTTCGTTCTCAAGTTAGCATCTCGGTCTCTTCGCTGGGGCGGGCTGCGCGCCTGGAGGGACTCGGCGTGCTGTGGTCCAGAGGGTGAGGAGGCGAGTGAGGGCGGCCCTAGGCGTTGCTAAGTGACGGCTGGGACTTGGCTGGGCGGAGCCGCGCGCTTCCTCGGGGACTGGCGTGCGAGGCCGCGCGGAGGGAGGTGAGGGCGCCCAGGAGCCCGGCCTGGGCGCCCGGCTTTGGGAGCACTGTGTTTCGCGCGTGCTAGCAAACTAACGCCGAGTCGGAACTCGCGCCTCCCTCCCGGTGCTGATCTACATGGCATTTTCCCAACCGGGACCTGCTCCTCCTGAATTAGCTGCCTTCCTTTCAGTTGGCAGATCCTTTGTGAACCAGTGGTCCTTCCCAAAGGTAGTGTTTTTTACTCTCTCCTGCAAGAGGCTCACGGCGACATGTTTAAGTCTTCCTTGTTTTATTGTTCTTCTGCAAACTTGAACTTTACCACCCGGCAGACAGTGGTTCCCAAATATCAGTCCATGGACGGACTGCTGGCATCGGTCACCCGAGGAGCCCACGTGCTCTGATTAAGTCTGGATTGGGGCCAAGGAGTCCGCACCTTAGCAGCCTCCAGTCCATGCTCCTACTTCCGTGACCCTGAGCCAGTCCTCGATTCTTGGCTTTTGTCTCTCCATATTGCCTTTTACAAGATCCTAGTGTCGCTCAACGCCCCTCCCCAAATTCTTAGGGTCTCCATTTATAGACTTTAGTTTTCCTAAGCACCTCCAGGTTTGATTAAATTATAAAACTTAGTCTGCCAGCCTAACCTTGGCGATTTCAATTTTGAAATGGGACCCTTGCTGAACACCAAAGATCTCACATTTATAGTCACAAGTATGAAAAATGGGATACTTAGGGAGAGAAATGTAGAACTGAATTTAGAAATGTGAGGGTAATTGAATATAACTGATGTCTCTCCTGTGCCAAGATAGGGGCCATGTGTCCTCTAACAAGAAACCTGTCCCTGGAGTGTGGCCCACCAAAAGCTTAAGATGCTGAGCTGCCCCAGGCCCTTGAGAACAGTCTTAATTGATTTACCCTCTGGCCCTGTTCTCCTGCCCTCTTAATATGTAAATTAGGGGAAAGAAGCCACTATTCTCTGGATGAGGACTTTCCACTTGATATGCAACAGTCTGCCTTTGTCTGAACTACCGTTGGCCACTTACCCTTTCTGGTGATAGCTACAAAACACTAACATAGAAATTTTGCTATCTTCCTAGAGAACTGGCTGCCCAAGCCATACAGCTCCCAGCAAAGAACAATGTTATGATTCCAAAGCCACAAAAACAAAGCACAGCTTAAACAAAAAAGAGCAGAGAGCTTGGGAGTGAAGATCTGGAGTTCAGACCTCAGCTCTGCCAATTATTAGCTCTAGAAATTTGGACAACTCACTTTATTTCTCTGAACATCAGTGCCCCTAATCTTAATTTGAGTCACTTAAGAATCCACAGATAGTGACTGGCCCACAGCATGTACTCAGGGAATTTTTATTCCTTTATTGTACCTTCCTTTCCTGGTAGCAAAAGCTTGATTCAGGTTCAGGGTAACAAAAATTCATTCACCTTCTCCATCGTTTTTTTGTTTGTTTGTTTTGGTAAGAGAATTTATTTTTTTTAATTAATTTATTTTTAAAATATATTTTTATTTATTTCAGAGAGGAAGGGAGAGGGGGAGATGGAAACATCAATGATGAGAGAGAATCATTGATCGACTACCTCCTGCATGCCCCCCACTGGGGATCGAGCCTGCAACCCAGGCATGTGCCCTCGACCAGGGCACCCTTCAGTTCATAAGCCAACACTCTATCCACTGAGCCAAACCCGTCAGGGCTCCCCATCTTTCTTGCTGAATTTTGAAACAAAAAGTTTTAACTTCAATGCTTGCTTGTATTTAAAGCAGTATTGATCTGTAGCCATTTGGAGCTTTAATATTTTACATCACAAATTATGATTTTTTTACTATAAAAATTTTATGGTTCCAATCAATAAACTGTTGACTGTAACAATGACACATTTGTCTTGCAGACATGTTCTGAGAGCTGCAAGGGCAAATATCTCTTACTGCCTTTTGCAGATTACACAATGGCCCTCTTTGGGGTTCTAAGATGAGCACCCCATTTGAATGGATGCATTTTAGAAGGTGAGAGAGCCCAGCTGGCATGGCTCAGTGGATGAGCATCAACCTATGAACCAGGAGGAGGTTCAATTCCCGGACAGAACTTATACCTGGATTGTGGGCTTGATCATCTCTCTCCTTCTTTCTCTCTGAAATCAGTGAAAAAATATTTTTAAAAATAAAAAATTGAGGGTGAGGGAAGGAATGCCAAGCCCTGGCCCTGAGCTCTCACCTTCTAAATGCAAATCAAATTCCCAGTCAAATTTTGACAGACTGTAAGAACTGACTCTAAATGGCCCACATCTCTGAGGTCCTAGGGCGGGCAGGAGGGGGTCTATGGGGAAAGAAGGAGATATATGTAATACTTTCAATAATAAAGAATTATTTTTTTATGGCCCACATTGAGCATCTAATCCCAAATCAAGAACCTATTCTATATCTGGAAAACAAAGCAAAGGGATGAGGAAAAAAATCTGTTCACAAAACTTGATGTTTATTTAATTTCCTACTCTTAAAGCCTTGCTTGATCTCACTTTCCTTGTGTGTCTTGGAAAGAAACATCTTTCCAGTGGTTTTGGTCACACTGAAACAAACCTGAAATACTTTAGAGGAGATGGAGCTATGATTTCTCTTCAGGGAAACAGCATGCTGCCACTTTATCAACTTATACCCAGTAAAGTAGCCTTTCTCCTTAAAAAGATGACTTCAGTGCATTAAAAATTCTTGTTTTAAAAATCAGCTAATTATGTATATTAAAGCACACCCATTAACCATTTAACCTCTTCAACACAGCCTGTGTTCATTTTGTAATGGCTCCTGAGTGTAGAGCGCCTGGGAAGGCACATGAGCATTTCTTTAATTACTGTCAGCTGAATCCAGTGGCGTTGGCAGAGCCACATCCTGGAAACACACCTTGCCAGAGGCAGGAATGTTGTCAGCTTGACCTTCAGCCCAGGCGCCAGGGGGTGGGTTTCGTTATCTAAATCCAGCCAAGCACTAGGAATGAATACTACTCAGGCCCACCCAAGAATGCACATAATCTCCTTTGTCTTGACCTTTAGTAAAACTTCCTGGGTTTTGCTGTATAAAATAAACACGCTGTATTGGCTCTGGGTCCCTGTCTCTCCAACAGAGGACAGTGGTCCCACCCAGCCCCAGCTTTTTCCTTCCATCTCTGTGTCTGTCTCTTTCATTTTCTCAATCCCTCAATCCCCAGCAGCCCCTACTCAGGAACCAGACCGCTCTCTAACCTCGCTGGACGCAGAAAAGAGAAATATTTACACCTAAGAAACTGAGGCCATAATCCAACAGCCCACAAGGAAATGAGTCATGCCAACAATCACACAATTGAGCATGGCATCAGACCCACCATAGTAGAGCCTCAAAATGTCTGTACAGCCCTGGCCAGTTGCTCAATGGTTAGAGCATCGGCCTGCAGACCGAAGGGTAGCAGGTGAGATTCCTGGTCAAGGTTTCCCAGCCCTGGTAGGGGTGGGTGCATGGGGGAGGCAGCTAGTCCATGTGCTTCTCTCACGTCAATGTTTCTCTCTCTTTCCCCCCCCTCTTTTCCTCCCTTCCACTCTCTCTAGAAATCATATCCACGGATGAGGATTAAAAAACATGTTTGGGAAAGACCCTGAGCAGAAGACGCAGCTAAGCTGTACCCAGATTTTGGACACTGTGAGGTAATAAATGTTCTGCCTGGCCAGTGTGGCTCAGTGGTTGAGCATTGACCCATGAACCAGGAGGTCATGGTTCAATTCCCGGTCAGGGCACATGCCTGTGTTGTGGGCTTGATCCCCAGTAGGGGGCATTCAGAAGGCAGCAAATCGATGATGTTTCTCATCAATGGATCTTTCTCTATCCCTCTCACTTCCTCCCTAAAAATTAATAAAAAATATCTATACTAATAAAAGGGTAATATGCTAATTAGACCAGATAGACTAGACGTCTTCTGGACGTCCTTCTGGACAAAGCCACGGTGGCGGGGGCCAAGGCAGAGGCGGTTAGGGGCAATCAGACTGGCAGGCAGAGGGGGTTAGGGGCGATCAGGCTGGCAGGGGAGAGCAGTTAGAGGCATCAGGCAGGCAGAGGTAGTTAGGGGTGATCAAGCAGGCAAAAAGGTTAGGGGTGATCAGGCAGGCAGAGTGGTTAGGGGCGATCAGGCAGGCAGGCAGGTGAGGGGTTAGGAGCCAGCAGTCCTGGATTGTGAGAGGGATGTCTCCGATTGGAGAGGGTGCAGGCCAGGCTGAGGGATCCCCACCCCCCTGTGCACTAATTTTGTGCATCAGGCCTCTAGCATATATATCCTGTATAATAAAAGCCTAATATGCTAAGTGTCTTAACTGTTCAACCAGTTGCTATGATGCGCACTGACCACCAGGGGGCAGACACTCCAACCAGTAGGTTAGCTTGCTGCTGGGGTCCGGCCGATCAGGAGTGGGCAGACAGGCCAGACATGCTCTGGAGCCCTCCCACTCCTAATCATGCACCGGTGGGGTCCCTCGGCCTGGCCTGTGGGATTGGGCCGAAACCAGCTCTCTGATATCCCCCGAGGGTCCTGGATTGCGAGAGGTGCAGGCTAGTCAGGGCCCACGGTGCATGAATCCGTGCACCAGGCCTGTAGTGCGCGCGAGAGCACACACACACACACACACACACACACACAAACACTAGAGGCCCAATGCACAAAATTTGTGCAAGGGCTTTGGCCCCGGCCCCCACCCGCAGATGCCATGGCTGCAGCCGGGGGCCTCTGCCGCCTCTGCCTCTGCCACGGCTTTGTCTGGAAGGAAGGACGTCCGGTCTAATTAGCATATTACGCTTTTATTATTATAGATGCTTTAAAAAATGTTGTTCCAGCCAGTAAGTTTTGGGGTAGTTTGTGTGCAGTGATAGATAAATAATATATACCACAGATGGCTTGATTAAATCCATTGGCTATAAGGAAAGGCTTGGTTGTGCTGGTGTAGGCTCAGGGTAGCACGTACTCTGTGTGTCTGACTGGTGTGCCTATGAGGAGGAAGCTGATCAGTGCCACTTCCCTTTCCCAGCTACCTGGAGCCACCACAGTACCTCTCTGCCTGGTTAGATGCCCTCCCCTCAAGATTGGGAAGTAAAAATAACATCTCCACCCCTCTGGGAAAAACTTCACCAAAGGAATCTCTGCCCAACTAAACGTTACTTGCTCCCTCAAAGACAGAAACGAAGAACTTTATCCTTGAGAAGGAGAGTGGAAGAATCTAGTCCTGTGGCCAGAGCAGGACTTCAGAGAACAGGGAGGCTTGACTTTTTACTCACTGTCTAAAGCAGGGGTCTCCAAAAAGAGCAAGAGAATCCACTGGGATGAGAGAGAAAATACTATTTTATTTAGAAAATTAAGAATTTTAAGCTTTACCAATATCCACTCTACAATCTGACCCTAGGACAGTGATGGCGAACCTATGACACGTGTGTCAGGTGACACGCGAACTCATTTTTTTGGTTGATTTTTCTTTGTTAAATGGCATTTAAATATATAAAATAAATATCAAAAATATAAATTTTTGTTTTACTATGGTTGCAAATATCAAAAAATTTCTATATGTGACACGGCACCAGAGTTAAGTTAGGGTTTTTCAAAATGCTGACACACCGAGTTCAAAAGGTTCACCATCACTGCCCTAGGATCTTCTTAGTCCATGTGGACCAGCCACATGTCAGGTCAACTTTGAAGGAACAGTCTGTGGGTGGGCCCGGCACAGAGGGGCAGGCAGTGCCCACCACCCCTTAATCCACTACTAGAGTGTCACGGGTGCTCTTGCAGGTTCAAGCCCTGGTTAAGAGGCTGTGCTGATTATATTATCTACCTACTAATATTAACCTAAATTAGCCCTAGACAAATGCACAAGGGCCTGAACATTGCTCAGAGGAACCACAGTCTGAATACTAATATGCAAGCACAGGAGAAGAGGGCAGAGCTGATTCTGCTCTTGTCCCTACGGTATCAGCCACGTTAATTGTTGCTCTTCGTTTTTCCCCTTGTAATAAAATTTAGCAAGGAGTTAGCAAAAATATTTAAAAGTATAAAGATCATTTGAAATACAGTGAAATTTGCCCTAAGTGTACATTGCACCTCCAGATTTGCTAGTGATGGTATCACCTGCATAAAATATATAAATAAATTATATATGTATGTGTACATAAATATATTCAACTTTTTACCAATAAGGGTACATTAAAAACTAGAAGCCATGGGTCTACAAGATACTGTGACATTTTCTAACTTAATTATCAGAGGCCAGGAGGACCCACCTGATGAGGGATTACAGAGGGTTAAGAAGAGAGAAAAGAAAACAAAATAATTTGAGTTTATTTGTCCTCCTCCACAGAACCTTTTCCCTGAAATAGTCTCCCACCAGGCCCAGCTCCTACAACTGGATAGATAGGAACCTTCCCTCCCTTTACTTCCACAAGTAACACAAAGCTATTTAAACAGATGCCTAAAGCCAAATCAGAGAGAAAAGCAATGCATGCCCTCCACACATCCCAATTTGTAAGTGTTCTCGCTGCCCCAGGAGAGGCTGTTGGGAGGAGTCTTCAGTTCTGAGAGGAAGGCCCACTGCACGCCTGCAGCATGCCCACTGCTGGTCAGGGGGAAGACACTGGCCCTTTCAGCAGGAAGGGCTTGGCTGCCTCCAGGATGTCCAGTTTGGGGTCCAGTGAGCGACCAAGCCCCTCGAGCACCATGATGGCAAACACAATGGAGGCGAAGTTGCTCTCAAGCTTTACCTGAAAGATAAAATAAGTGGTTCTTCCCAAAGCCCATTGATATATAGAGTTCTGGATAACCATGTAGCTGTCTGCTCTCAGCCTCCTGTACCCGCCCATGTGACTTTTACTGTCTACCTGACCCTCTTTTCCCTACCCCATCATTTTACCCACCATCTCATCTACTCACCCAACCTCCCGTCTACTAGTATTACTAAGGAAAAATCTGGGGGATGTGGTATGTACTTTTCTAGGGGTGTGTGCGTGTGTGTGTGTGTGTGTTCATATGACTTAAAAATAATAAAATTAGTATCTCAGCGATATACCAGAAACTGTAAATCTAAATAAGGATCGTTCTTCTGACCAGCCACCTTTCTGACTCTTAATTCTATGTTATGATCCTTGCCAAATGCAGTATTTCACTGTCGGATTGCAGAACCTCAAGAGAAACAATGGGAAAGGCCATCTTCAGACAAGAATCTGCCCTGCCCTCAACTCCTTAGACCCTTGGCTGACAGTTTTACTTTGAAGAATAACCCAAGACCACACTCCATCACAAGGAGACAGACAAAGGCCAAGGTGGAGAACTGTGAGGCCGTGTCCCTCCAAGGAACAGGGGCAGGAGGCAGAGGCCACAACAGCCGTGCTGGCATCTGAACACACCAGGACAAGAGGCACCTCCTCACGGGCCGGCCCAGCCTCAGGGTGTTACAGGCTCAGGAAAGCTGTATAAGTGTGACTTAGATGAGTACCAGGCATCATTCATGTGCACTGAGGAGGGGAAGGGCGTGACAGCTTTCATTAGACGGTGTTTACGTCTGTGAATCCATTTTTCTGCAGCTCAGGATCACAGATACTTGGACAGCTTAGCCTTACTGAGACACAGACCAACACTGTGACAAAGGGAAAACCTGCTGTACCTAGTTAGTACACAGAAGCAGCACTCTCCATGCTAATGAAGTGGTACCAAAAATGTTTTTAAAAAATGAGATCTCATATAAGAGGAGTACTTCTCACGACCCTGTGGCCACCCATCAGCTTCCCCAGAGACCTCCCCTCCAGCCTGGCTGGAGCAGAGAGGCTCAGCTCTGCCAGGGGCCTCACCTTGTGAGTCATCAGTAACTTAAAGACATTCGAGAGAAGGCTGGAAACTTGGAGCTGGAAAAGATAGTAAAATTGACTGTAGAGAGTGCCGACCTCTCTCCCACACCTCCCCAACTACTTCTCTCCCAGGCCCCTGTCCCGTCCTTCCCCAACACCTCGTCCCTCCCATCACACACACACATACCAGTGAGTGCAAAGAGACTCTAATTCCAGAAGGACTGCACATGCTCCCATCTAGAGTATGAGGAGCCTGAGTTCAAAGGCTCCTTCCAGGAAGAGGCCTGGAGGCCCAGCTCACCCAGTGTGTGTCCACCAGCGCACACACACCACATCTGAATAAGGAGGATCAGCAGTGCCTGGGTGCCAGCTGCTGCTCATTCTGAGCTCTGACTCGATCCTGCTAGTGTAGCCATGAACTTGAGGAAACGCTCAGTTTTGCTAGAACTGAGTGTAAAATACAAATTGAACTCAAGTCTAAATAAAGGATGTGAACATTAGGTATGTCTTCTGGCCACTCAGAGACCGTCATCCCTCCCTTCAAGCTCAGCTGAGCTCGAGATAAGAAGCGGCAGAACAGCTACACCCCAGACAGGCTGGGGTGCGACACTATGTATGTCATGCCCCAGAAGGCACCCTGGGAACCTGGTCAAGGAGCCACTCTTGAGAGTCAGAGATTCCAGTGGGCCTCCTCACACCTGGGAGATGTGGGCATGTGTTCTTTATCTGCCTTAAAACTCAAACCCCCTCCAGACTTCTCCCCATTAAAAGATCTCCCTTCACTTTGGGGTTTGTTCTCGCCAAGGGCAAGGGCAGTACTCAGGCCCCTGCCCCTCTGTGGCCTGCTCACCTTTTCCAGGGTGATAGTGTTCTTCCTGGCCTGCGTTACTAGTGCAGCCATCTCAGCCTTGAATCGCTCCACGTCCTTGCACTCACTGGCCCGAGCGTGATGCAGGATGAGCTCAGCCACTCTTTGGCCCTGGAAGATACAAAAGAAAAGAAACTTGGTAGAGCTGGGAGGGCACAAAATTAGATGATCTGCCCACACTCCTTCATATCCTAGTTGTTTCCACCTAGTTCTTCTATCTTGCCCTTGGCCACTGCTGACCAACCAGCCTAGCCTCAGAGCCAGAGCCACCAGGACCTGTCACCAGACTGGACCAGCCACACTGTCCTCCCGGTCTCCCTCTGGGCCCAGCAGAATCCCCTCCTCACCGCCTCTGTGCTGCAGCCTTCCCACTCCTCCACCCAGGACACCCTCTGACCAAAGCCTCCATGGTCTCCCCAAACACCCACCTACCCTGGTAGTCACTGCTAATGCCTTTCACCTCCCTCCTCAGGCTGTGACTTCTTTGTCCACCCAAGCCTGTGCAGGGGAACATACCCCACCCTACCTGCCACCGTGGCCCAGGCTCAAGCCTCTGCCCCCTCAGAAGCCTCCTAAGCAGGAGCTAGTCTTCCTAGTGCCCACTGCAGGCTTGTTGAAGAAGGAGAAACTGCCACGACTACACGACAGCATTTGGGAAGGAGGCATTTCTTCCCATCCCAAACCATGAGCTACTTGGAACTGGCCTCAGTCACAGGCACCAGCACCTTCTGACTAAAGACCAGAGATGCTTCTGTTAGGAGCACCCGTGGCAAAGACGGCATTTACAAGGAAAATGAAGGCTGAAGAGCCCGAAAGTTCTCAAGAGCTTCAAGGGTTTGGGCCCAACTCCCGAGGGCCCAGTGGGTCTCACCTGCCCCATTGCTACGGCCATGAAAACTGCGTGGAAGTTCCTCAGATCAGCAGCCCGCAGCTCTGCCACAATACCAGCATCCAGGAGCACCAGGCGCAGTGGGCACCGGGCAGGCGTCACGGACACCACCAGTGTGTCACAAACATCCGCCTGCTGCAGCTGTGCCTCTTGGCTCTTGGAAAGACCATCGGCACCCTGGACCAGGATGTTCCCAGGGTGAAGGTCCGCGTGGACAAAGTTGTCCACAAATATCTGGAAAGAGATCAGCACTATTCAAGGCTAAATCAACCCTCACCACCCCATCACCACCAGGAAAAAGCTTCCAGGGTGATGGTATATTCCTAGTGTACAGAGAAGTGTACATTTGATAAATTAATTCATTGTCTGATGACATCAGTTCAGAATTTGTACAGGGACAGGACAGGTTGATGTTTTCAAGAGAAAAGTTATTTTCAAAGTCAAGAGCATTAAAAAATATTATAGGAAACATGAAATGTTGCAGGTTCAATCCCTGGTGGGAGTGGGTACAGGAGGCAACCAATCAATGTTTCTCTCATACATCAATGTTTCTCTCCCCCCCCCCCCCTTTTCTCTCCATTCCTCCCTCTCTCCCCACTCTCTTCCCCTCTCTCTAAAATCAGCAAAAAAGCCCTAGCTGGTTTGGCTCAATGGATAGAGCATTGGCCTGTGGACTGGACTGTCCTGGGTTCCATTCCAGTCAAGGGCACATGCCCCGGTTTCAGGCTTGATCCCCACTAGGGGGCGTGCAGGAGGCAGCCAATTAATGATTCTCTCTCATCATTGATGTTTCTATCTCTCTCTCCCTCTCCCTTACTCTCTGAAGTTAACAAAAAATATATTTTTTAGCCCTAACTGGTTTGGCTCAGTGGATAGATCATCAGCCTGCGGACTGAAGGGTCCCGGGTTTGATTCCGGTCAAGGGCATGTACCTTGGTTGCAGGCACATCCCCAGCACACCGCAGGAGGCAGCTGATTGATGATTCTCTCTCATCGAAGTTTCTAACTCTCTATCCCTCTCCCTTCCTCTCTGTAAAAAAATCAATAAAAAATATTTAAATATATATATATATATTTTTTTTTACAAAAATAATAATAAGTAAAATCAGTAAAAAACAAAAAAAAACAAAAAACAAACACATATCCTCGGGTGAGGATTAAAAAAATAAAATTATCTACTCATTGTTTAAAGATTTTCCCCAAACCTCTCTGCTCTTAAAATTCATGGAACTAGCCGGTTTGGCTCAGTTGATAGAGCATTGGCCTGCGGGCCAAAGGGTCGAGGGTTTGATTCCAGTCAAGGTCAAAGGCAGGTACTAGTAACTTGGTTGCAGGCTCCTCCCTGGCCGAGCCCTGGGTCGGCTCCTGCAGGAAACAACGAATTGATCTGTTTCTCTCACATCGATGTTTCTCTCTGTCTTTCCCTCTCTCTTCCACTCTCCCTAAAAATCAATGGAAAAATATCCTCGGGTGAGGATTAACAAACAAAAAAAATTTTTTCATGGAACTTCCTTTCTTTCAAATATTTCATAACTCAGGCTTCCCCTCCATTACCTCCATTTGTCCACACAGTGACATGTAACAGCAATACTAACCACCACCTACTGGCAGAGAATCAAGTAGACAAGGAGAAATGGCTTTGAGACTACTAAGCAGGAAAGAAAGCCCCAGGAACTATGATAGACAGAAAGTCAGGTGTGACTTTGGGGAACAAAAATCTGCCTCCCATGAAAGAGAGAAACCACTAGCAATCCTAGAGGGGAAAAAGGAGAGCCCAGTGCAGAGGCACAGAGCAGCTGCTTCAGAGGGGCTCTCAGCGGACTCCTCCTGGCACAACAGAGCCCCTCCTCCTGGATGCAGGTCACAGTGACCCTCCTAGTCCAGACCCTGGCTTTACTCGACATCGGGAGGCTGCTACCTGGTGAAAATCCTGGAACCCTGACCCAAGCCTGGCACCTTGCTGTCAGCTCATCCCTCAGGGCCTATGCCCCTATCCTTGACCCCAGGAGCTGGAAGCCTCCATAATACTCACCCACTCCTGGGCACTGCTTACTGCTGCTTCTACCCTGGCT